TGTTATAATGTTAGCCGGGATATTACCAGGTAAAATTTGACTGATACAGTTTTATTCACACATAACAATTTTCTACAGCAGAAATGAAACCTTAAAAGCAAGGTGAGAAAATGAAACTTAATGCAGGTGTCATTTCCTTAACTTTCATTTCTCTTCCTGTGAGGTGGAGCTACTTTTACTTTCCATGTAATAGTTGCACAATGGCCAAGCTTGCATCCTGTTCACATATCATGTAAAATAACAAGTGGCCAACTGAACCATCGTTGTTATTTTAAAGAAATGAACAACATTATTAACTAATGAAGGTATTCATGCTGCCAGCAGCATTATGAATTGATCATGCTCATGTAGGTTATGCACTTGGATCCTACTTTTTAAAAAGTTACAGTAATTGTATTTACTTGTATTCATATGGTAAGTATAAGTATAATCACATTAATACAAATCAATGAAAATACTAAACTACAAGTTTAAGTCTGGCACTAAGATCTTGAGGGATTGTATAGAAGTGTAATTCAGGGGAGCGAGAGGGCCAGTTAGTGGACTCAATGCCTTCGTCATCTAGGAACTGCCGACACACTCTGGCCACTTGAGGCCGGGCATTGTCCTGCACCAGGTGGAAACCAGGGCACACTGCACCAGCGTAAGGTCTGAAAATCAGAAACCAGTCAGGGTATAGTCGGCTATGACATGGAGGCCTATGTGACTCTCCAAGGATATGTCTCCCCAGACCATCATTGACCCACTGGCAGTGGCCTGTAACATCATCCAGCACTACCGGTTTGACACCACGGTGTCTCCAGACCACAACTGCCACACATGCTCAGTGTGAACCTGCTCTCATCTGTGAAGAGAACAGGGTGTAATAGCGAACTTACCAATTCTGGTGTTCTCTGGTGAATGTTAATCAAGCTGCAGGGTGCTAGGCTGTGAACACAGGTCCCACTAGAGGTTGTTGCGCCCTCATGCTACCCTCATGGAGTCAGTTTCTGAGTTTGATCAGAAACATGCACACCTGTAGCCTGCTGGAGGTCATTTTGTAGCACTCCTCCTGTCCCTCCTTGCACAAAGGAGCAGATGCCAGTCCTGCTGCTGGGTTGATTCCCTTCTACCCCCTGTCCAGCTATCCTTGTGTAACGGCTGGTCTCCTGGTGTCTCATCCATGCTCTTGAGATTGTGCTGGGAGACACAGCAAACCTTCTTGTGACCGCATGTATGGACGGGCCTTCCTGGAGGAGCTGGACTACCTGTGCAACCTGAGAAAGGAAATGCAACTACAAAGAAGTTTTTGGACACTGACAAGGTTGTGTACATTAAAGCCTGTCTGGAAAATACTGTACTTTACTGTATCTGATGACCACCAGAGGGAGCAGTCTGTACTTCACATTGTACCTGACAGAAGAAGCAGCATCAGTTTTTGCTGTAACCAACAGGTCAAAGGTCAGACCCAAAGACAAAAAGATCAGAGCAGATATAGGAGACTAACTATGGACAAATATGTGCATCTTTATTGAAATGAAATCCTGTAAATCATGATCTACACTAAGTATATTTACCCGCAGACATTTATCATAAACGTCAGACTATTATACATACATAGATGTTCACTCTGCTTTATTACACCAATGCAAGCCACATGCTTAGGAGGTCAAAAAACAGGGTTGCACAAGTCATATAAATCGATACAAACAGCAACCAAAGATCACCCATTCTTTTTTACAATTGCACATATTTTTTGAAAAATTCTCTGACTGATGCGCTTTTTTGCTGGGCTTTAAAAGTGTAAATGAGCACCACTCTACACATGCTTTAGAGTGGTACGACTTATGTCTATGAGTTTACAGTAGTTTGATGATAGCATAGAAAACAGTCACAGTAATGTGTAGCGAGAGCGGCCACTTGTAAACAGTTGTAAACACTTGTAGACGACACCCTTCTTTTCAGATAAAATGACAATGTGATAGCAGATGCAATTAAGAATGAAAACCATAGCAACAGAAACAAGTTGCACTGGCCGCATCTTGTGGTGGCTGTTTCTTGCACAGACCCTTTATAGTGTTTTTCCAGTATGCTGTTATTGCTTTAGAAACCCCATGTTGATGTGTTGACATGAATTTATAAACAATGTAACAGAACTCTCCCTAAAACAAGTTCTGAGTTTTTATTTGAATTAGAAATAACCATCATTAAAATAACATAACAATACAGATCAAAATACAGACCTGCACTAATGAGTCAGGGATTTATGGATTTGTAAACTCTCAGAGATAAAATGGATGATTTCTTTTGACAAGAGCATATTAGCACAAATACAACATCATGCACTTGAAAAGTTGAAGAGCATTAGAAACGCAGAGCAGTTTTTCCCCTCCACCACAGAGTGCAAACCAGTTTGAAAAACACATCCCTTCTAAACAGTAAATGTCGATCACCAAGCACAGAGACAGGAAGTGTCACTAATGTGTTTCAAACTACACGAAATACAAGATTCAGCAAACAACACTTCTGAAAGTGGAGCAAAACACTTTGTCTGGTAATTTTGTACAACACCTAACGTTACTTATTCTATCTACAGTGGTTGTACTTGGACACCTTTGACACATTTTTGATGACAGTTTGATAACAAACTGATTTGAAAATGAACATTAACTCTACTCTTCTCCCCTCTTCCCCCCCCAAAGATTGCCCTGGTTTATAATGCCGAAGTGCCACTTGTGAAACGAAAAGGCACGGCTACATTTGATTGGAGTACGAGGTGGGACCTCCCACCTGGCTGTACTCAGATGGCTGGCTGAGGTCTCCCTGGATGTTGTGGCTCCCCGTCTGGTCGAAGCTTCCCTGGTTGTAGGGCTGCTGGTTAAAGGTGCCGGCCTGTTTCTCGGATCCCCCGCCTGCCAACCTGGAAGACCCCTTGTGCCAACCAGTCTCCTTAAAGACAAACCAGATATTTCCAGCCCATAGAACAAAGTTGAGGAACCCAAATGCCTGAAGAGAATCAGAACAAGGAAGAGCAATATGAAACTGGCAGATGAGAAATTTTATTCAGTGATGCAGACTCTCAAACATTTCTGGTTTATTTACTCATTCATTCCAACCGTTTGGGAAGCACATTCTGACATTCTGCAAACCTACCACTGAGGTGTTGAGCCCAGACCAGTGCGATCCGTGCACTGAGCCACACCTGTTGGTCTGGTCTTTGCAGGCAGGGATGAGGAGCTGCACCTCATCTGGATCAGTGGCCAGTTTCACATCAGACAGAGCCTTTGCCCAAGCAGATGAACTGACCAGCCACATGAAGGAGAACACCACTGTCACCACAAAGTCCTGATGGCACGACGAGAGAGGAGAAAAACAGAACAAAAATGTCAAACTGACGAACAATTCCTTTGACAGTCACGTTGTAAAAAGATCCCAGGTCAGAGGCGATTGAATACTCACAATGAGCGGTGCTTGATTGTTCTCGTGGTATTTATTCTTGAAGAAGATGTAGACGATGGTTGCCATCAGAGAATATAGAAAGGCAAAGACAGCAATGGTGACGAAGAACTCTGCGGAGGATGAATAGTCTCCAATGAGGAACACGCGTTCCCGTATCATGCCCTCACACATGGGCGCTTCAAAGGACACCTGGTACAACCTGGCACACAGAGAAACCTGCAGGGGTCAAATTCAGCTCCTAATAAAAATGGTGGTCCACTATATGTTTTACCCAGAGTTGTTTATTCTCATCAGAAATTTTTTTAGTTTTTCAACACTGGAAAGTACAAATATCATATCTGGCTCAACAAACACAGTGTTTCAAAAGTATTATTTCTTCAGGCACTTCTCTCTTGCTACATCAAAACCTGGTTTCAGTGTGTGAGCAAACCATGATTAGGGGGTTTGTCTGTGAAGCAGCATTAAGATGTGATCCTGTGATATCTGCTGAATAAACATTGGATGCAGTTATAGTAAGTGGATAATTTAGTTACTTTCTTTTCAGATTGCAGATAAAGGGAATTGCCCCCATTGCAATTCAGTTTCCTAATCTAACTTAAGGTAACTAAATGGAATAGATGTGAAATTAAAGAGTCACTTTTACCAAGATCAGAAAAAAACTTCTCAAGTGCTGCTTTTAAAGAAAGGGTCCCACATACTCCTACATACATTATTTTTAAATTAATTAACTTCCTACGTGTTGTCACAGACCTGAGGACCTCAGACTACAAATCTAGAAGTAACCTCACGAGTTCGTTTCATCTAAATTGTATGAATTGTAGTTTTTTTTACCCCAGAAAAGTCCCTTTATATTTAAATACTTTATATTTACATCGTGGGAACCCTCTCTACGGAGGCCGCCATGTTTTTTACATTAGTTCAGACTGGACAAACTAAACACCTTTTGAGTTTTTATGACGATTAAAGGCTACCACAGTTTCTTTTTTCATGTTTGGAAGGTGAGGGTGAGGTGAGGAGGGGTGTTCAGCGGCAACATGCAACTTCAACACTAGATATCACAAAATTCTACACACTGTACCTTTAAGTGTAGAAGTAAAAAAAAAGTCACAAACAATAATTTGTTCAAATTGCACTGAAGTATTCATGTTCAAAATACACACAGCCCTAATCAACAACAACAGATCATCGTGCAGGCAAAAAGACATTGAACACTGACGGAAGACATTTGCTGGATTTACCAAGGTGACTGATCATTTACTGGGTAAGTGTCCGACACAGATTCATATTCCTGCCACCATACTTTGAAGACTCGTAATGAAGCCCACTCACCTGAAGGGATAAGCAAAGTCGATGCCGATGCTGAGGTTGCTGCTGGCCTTCTCCATGCAGTCCACACTAACCCGCAGCTGCCCAGAATAGCCCCCACATGTTGCAAAAGCAAAAATGGCAAAAAGCTGCACAAAATAATACAAGAGAAATCAGATACCTGCTACAGTACAACTGGAACTCAGAAGATAGACGACTTCATGCAAAACATAGCTATGCTGCCATATTATCCACACAAAATATTATATTGTCAGTTACACACATTCACACACAACCACTCATGATGAGGTGATGCTGTCACAATGTCGTCAGACCCACATCTTTCTCCCTCAGCCCTGTATCAGTTACAGCATACTGTGACACACACGACCACCTTCAGATCAGAGCATCAGCTCTACTGAAACACATGATCAGAGGCGTGAGCACAGTGCTGGCTGTCAGCTTAGAGATTTGCTGAGCAGATAATGAGCCGACTCATTAGGAGGACAACAGGCGAGATTGAGATTTTTGTTAATGTGATTACCACCACCCAGTCTATTTATCCTACTAGTATTTTACTAGAGACACAGTTAAACATGTATCCTTTTATTATACACTGTAAATGTTTGAAGTGTTGTTTAATGTCAAAAAACTAACATATTGAATCATTGAAGTAGCGCTACGTTAGAGCCACAAAAAAACATTTGAAAAAAGTGGAGCAAATATAACCACATAGAAGAGGGGGAGAGTATAATCCAGCTTTTATATGCTACAGAGCTCCCAGAAGTATTCTGATAATGAAGCACAAGCTGGGAGAGACAGCCTGAGGAAACACTGTGTGTGTGTGTGTGTGTGTGTGTGTGTGTGT